AGCCATAGCGGCGCTTGGAGACGAAGTTGCTCACAGACCTGACCCAACAATTCACCGGTAAGTGATGCGGTCAAAAAACCTCCTCCCAAACCAGAAGTCGCTCGTTGTCTACCGACTTCAGCGCAGCTGCGGGGAATGCAATAACGCTAGGGAGACTGGTCGACACCAGCAAACACAAATGCATGAGCATCGGTTGGGCGTTCGAAGATTGGACTCAAAGTCGGAGGTAACAACCTACGCTGCGTACACGAGACATCTTCAACTTTGAACCGTTGAAATTGTGGGCTGAATAGATGGTCGCACAGGCGCGTGGGGCCTATATGTCTACCGGCTGCTCAGATAATTGCCACCAAAATGGCCTCTCCTTATCAGATTTTACGAAGTTACTCGCTAGGATTGTAGTGTAAAACAGTCGGGACCGCCGATTACCATCATGGTCAGTGGGGACGGGAGCGAACACGTTACGGTGAAATAGGGACCCCATTCACTCTGAAAGTCGGCAGTAGCGACCTGTATATCAGGCAAGGTGCAGAATATAGTGAGGGCTATGCACAGGAATCTTCATTCTATGAAGATGGGTAGCCGAGATCACTGCTCGAGAAGTCATACAAAAATAGACCATTGGTGAACGCTTCTTCTTTTGACAACTTAGTGTGCCTTGATTGATAGAAACGTTTGCCCTTGGATTCAGAATCTTTGGGAAAACGACTATCAACAATATGTGGAACCCAAGCACAGTTTTGAGTTGGGAACCCCAATAGCCAACTGGCCACATTGCAGACAGAAAACGGTTTCGCATCTATTACGAATCTGATTGAGGATTCAGGGTGGCAACACTGTCCTTGCCACCGCGTAGAGGACAGTCAGTTGTAAGGGGCCCTGCAAATACCGCGGCATCAAACCCAAGAAGGGAGTTATGCAAGTCCCGTGGAAAAGGGGTAAGGTGAAGGACGCAGCGGTTCCGGATAAGGTTAAAGGTTGTGCTCCCAGTAATAGGACAAAACTGGACAAAAGGCAGATGAAATTACTATACGAGTAACTTAATTCAAGAGCGGAATAAAATTGAAACGCTTGGTTGACGGTTGTAGTGTTGGTTGCGCTAAAGCCGTGTTTTTACTGTCACGTGTTACAGTTCTGCCAGTCTAAGGATTTGAGTCTGT